AGAGATATAGCTTAACTAGAACATGACAAGTAAAAGAGAATCTCTCAATATTAAATCTTTTAGAAAGGGATATCTCTCACTTTTCAAGTGGAAGAGATATCTCTCTAATGAAAAGAGCATCTTGATCAACGAAGTTGCCATTATTCAAAAAGAGAGATTTTTTTGTTTCAAACAAGAGAGGAGTTAAATTTTATTTTTATAGCAAAAGGACTTTTTGTCTTACCGGAAATAAGCTTTTTACATATATTATTCTGGACATTATAGCTTTACTAAACATGACAAGTAATTCATTGTTGTCTAGATTTCATATTTGTATTATTTCATAATCTGAGAAAATTCGCTCCATTACATTTGAGATTCTGTGAATATACTTACTTTCATTTTCTTGAATATTAAACTTTTATCATTTGATCAACGAAGTTGCCATTACTATTTTGCATGCATACTCAGTCTTTTTTGTTTTAAAGTGGAGAATTGATTATTTTATTTTAGGGATTACTGGAAAAGAGATATCTCTTTTGCTTAGAAAGATATCTCTTTTTTGAAAATCTAAAGAGGCATCTCTCTAACTAAGAAGGATATCTCTTTTAACCTTGTTAAAGAGATATCTCTCTAACTTTAAGAGATATCTCTCTCACTTAAAGAGATATCTCTCTAGCTTATAAAGATATCTATCTAAGTAAAAGATATATCTCTCTTACAAAAAGAGATATCTCTTTTGTTTAAAGAGATATCTCTCTAAGATATAAAGATATCTCTATCAGTCAAAGAGATATCTCTATGATCTAAAGAGATGTCTCTCTATGCTAGAGAGATATCTCTCTTATTGAAATAAAATTTTTATTTCACGAATAAATAGTAAAAGGGCTTGCCATAAAATTTGTTTGTTTTACCTGTGAATAAAATGCAGACGATTTGTGCTTTCGCTGTATTAAAATTAGCCTTCTTATTAATTATGAATCTGTTTGTAGCTTAAATATAGAATAATCTTTTTGAATATACAATAACACAATCAGTTTCCTATTTTACCACTTTATCACTAAATTCACGGAATTTAAATATAGCGTAGGGAGGTCCGTGAAACAGCCCCGCTTAGCTTTTGAAACCTACATTCATCAGCTAATTTCTGCAATATGATGTGCAAAAGACAACACATCGATGTGGTCTAAATAAGTATTTCATTCTTAAGATATATGTACATTTCAACTGCACAAGTTTGATATACGTGTTTCTGATCTGATAATTTTTTGATGACGTAATTCGTGATTTATTGGAGAATAATGTCCGCGGCATTTCCTTGATCTCGGCAATAATCGTTGTAGAATTGTCAATAATTTCATTACCTCGTTTTAAAAATTGTTCATACATAATATGCTCTTGCGTATCGAATCAACTGAGACATACAAACTCCGTATGCAGGTGACGAAGGTATATTGCTGCATAAGTTAGGGAAGTTGACGATGGAAAAGTTAAAAGTACTCGCGTTTATCATAGAGCTTGGTTGTTAGATTACATGTACCCTTAAAGTGTCAGACTCTGTGGTATCTTTTATTTCAAGCTCACCAGGATGTATCGATCGCATCGACATAAGAATGGAAATTACCATTGTTAATTGACAATAGGTCGTCGATATATATCTAAATGCCGAGTTGAAGGTCAGAGCAAGTGTTTTCTTCTTTTCACGCATAAGATTTTGCACAAATTCTGCTTCATATATATAATTATATACAAATACAAATAGACATTTTATCATTTAGATTTTCACTTCGAAGACGATTGGTATTGAAAATTTTTTTCTTATAAACCAGAACCTGGTTCTCTGAACTCCTCTTGCTTTTTTTGCAGTGGCCAAATCATCTCTTGTATGACAATTTAGGGGAATCCTGTAGATGTGCAATACGTAAGATTTCAGAATTTTGATTTTTCCTGTGGGAATCAAATTGGGGTTGTAGTTTCTTTCTCTTTTTTTTATCTGGTTCCTTGAACTTTTTTAGGGTAGGCAGCTCATTTTTTGAATATGATTGGTGATGTCCTGAAGATGAAAGCTGATAATGTACAAGTCATCATGCTCAAATCAGGGACAGAGCAAACACGGACCTCCAAAACATTAGAGGTGGGATCAGGTGCCATGGAGGAGCAAGCAACTGCTGTCGCCCAGTCACACCCTTTTAAATTCACCCCAGATTTTCCCATTTTCTTGACTTTTATGGATTATTCTGCTACGATTATTGCCGAGATCAAAGAAATGCTGTGGACATTATTCTCCAATATTATGATTTTTAAGAATTCTGTTGATGAGTATGATGGGAGATAGGCTGAACAGAAAACAAGAGGCCCAAGGGCCACATCGCTCACCAGAGTAACTTTGGTGATGCAGTTCTTTACAGATTTTCCCTCTTCTTATATCGATTGTGGCCCCCTACCCCCCCCCCCCCCACACACACACAAGAAAATCTTTGGGAACAAGACAGCCCTATAAAAGTTAATTTGTAAACATACCTATAAGTTCAAATAGTTATTTATCATGCCTAAATTTTGCAAGAATATTGACCAAGTCGAGCCATTTTTTTTCAAAGTGCGTTACGTTTCCTATATATTTCTATATAAAACTTGGATTCCCTATTGTGGCCCCGCCCTATCCCCGGGGGTTATGATTTTTACAATTTAGAATCTACACTCCCCCAGGATGCTTCCACATAAGAGTCAGAATTTATGGCCCAGTGGTTCTTGAGAAGATTTTAAAAGATTTTTCCAATATACATGTATTTCTATGTAAAACTTGGATTCCCTATTGTGGCCCCGCCTATCCCCGGGGGTCATGATTTTAACAAATTAGAATCTACACTACTCCAAATTGCTTCCATATTAGTTTCAGCTATCCTGACCCAATGGTTCTTGAGAAGAAGATTTTTAAAGATTTTTCCTATATATTTCTATGTAAAACTTGGATTCCCTGTTGTGGCCCCGCCTTACCCCCAGGGGTCATGATTTTTAAAATTTAGAATCTACACTACCTCAGAATGCTTCCACATAATTTTCAGCTTTTCTGACCCAATAGTTCTTGAGAAGAAGATTTTTAAAGATTTTTCCTATATATATCTATGTAAAACTTGGATTCCCTATTGTGGCCCCGCCTTATCCTCGGGGGTCATGATTTTTACAACTTAGAATCTACACTACCCAAAAATGCTTCCACATAAGTTTCAGATTTTCTGGCCCAATGGTTCTTGAGAAGAAGATTTTTTAATTACCTTACTCTATTTTTGTCTTTTCTTGATTATCTCCCCTTAGAATAGGACTTGGCCCTTTAATTTAAAATTTTAAACTTCCCATCACCCGAGATGCTTTGTACCAAGTTTGGTTAAAATTGGCCGAGTGGTTCTTGAGAAGAAGTTGAAAATGTGAAAAGTTTACAGACGGACGGACGGTTAGCTAGACGGACTAGGGACAAAATGTGATCAGAAAAGCTTACTTGAGCCTTCGGCATAGTATTTCTCGCATAGTTTACACAATGAATGTTAGCAAAATACATTTAGCAATATATTGTCAATGCCATATGTAACGTAGTTAGAACTTGATCCGTCTTTTTTCTGGGGTTGAAGAGTTACAATACTTAAAGGACTGTGTGCTACATTTTAATGCCCATATTTTTGTTCACTTCTTCCAAAAGAAATTTGGATAAAATGAAGATCTAAAATATATGTTAAGTAATATTTGTTATATTTTTCTTAGAATAATACAAGAATTTTCAACAATTGATACTGTATCTTTTAAAAAACTTTTGTAATACATGCTGATTTTTTGTCCATGAACATCGTACGGCATTATAATCTTAAATCAGAATATCCTTAAAAATCATCAGTACGTAAGGTAATTTACGTATGTTCTTAAGTTAAATGATGACTGCTGTTTTTTTTTTTGGTACAAATTGTAAAGCAACCATTTTCACACTAAGTCTCTGAAATGTCCGTTTACCTAATGGTATTTTATTGACATATAATAGTATTCCTTGTATTTGGTGCCATTGATCGCACCTGGTCAGGGGCTACTAAGAACGTGGGTTGTGTCTTCGAAAGCAAAGACAATTAAGGAGGGAGAAATGTAATGGTTTGGGACTTGGGCCTGGTACATGTAGCTCAGTCTGTAGAGAAATTGACTAATGATGTAGGAATCATGGGTTCAATTTCTGATCCAGCCATACATTTTCTCCTTTCCTGTTACAAGTTACATGTAACTTTCTACTTGATCTAAATGTTTGAAGTGGGACATAGAGTGTTAGTCAATGAATTGATACATCTACAGGGCCATTTGAAGCATAAAGTGTACTTCACTCTTTGCATCCTGCTAAAATACCATTTACACAGTACATGTACTCAAGCCATGGGAAGCTATCGGCCCCTTATTATCTTGGGAACCCTTTGCTTGACAGGCATCAAACATTATGCACTGGTTCCAATCAAGTCAAAGGTCAACTGGACATAGTAAGATAATGATTACTCAATATCTTGAGAACTCTTTACCTCACCAATACTGATTCTCCCAAGCAGTAGATGACATTGACCTTGAGGTTACAAAGTCAAAGACAAACTTGATAGGTTACCTCTTAGGTGTAGATGACCTGTATATTGATTATGAGATCACAAGATCAAAGGTCAAATTGGACATGTGAAGATATATTAGATTGCATAATATCTTGAAAACCTTTTGCTAGACAGTCTTCAATCTTGATTTTTCCAGGCGCATATGACAACTATCAAAGGTTCAAAGGTCAAACTACATAAGACAGGAATTTTGAAAATCCTTTACACTTAATTTTTTTTAGGGAGATGATCCCTGCTGCCTTAGTGTGTGTAGAGGAGGAGGATATATTTGTTTCTCAAACATCTCATTTTTTCATCTCATGGAAAAAAATCAATGTTTGCAAAATTCCCTATAGAAAGGTCCTTTCTTAAACAATATGCACTCTTCTACCTACTTGAATATTAAATGACAAAAAAATATTATACATTAACAATAAAATGTATTTTCATATCATACATACACCCACATTTTCTCTAAAACATATACATCCAAGAAAATAAAATTTACAGCTTCCAGTCATCTTATGCAATGTTAACATCATGAAATATGACATAAAATGATATCACATAATATTATCACAAATACATCCTTTCTCGCTGGTTCAACTAAATATTTAAAACTGGCATACAATCTGCTACTCTAGTCCTTGACTTTAAGTCTAAAAGGTCCAGCAAAACACAGCACGGCGCTTCAATCAAGTAATCCTGTCAACAGCACTGTGTTATAATAAAGAAGTCCTCCCTACAGGGTGTTTAGCTAAAAAAAAAATAGTCCTGTAAAATCCTGGTGAGCTAAACAACAGAGGTCCTGTCAACAGAGCACTGTGCTACACTGAATAAAGGAGTCCTGCCAGTACAGCCATATGCTACACAACAGTAGTCCTGCCACTTCTTATTCCCACTTTCTCAGCAAACTGGTCCAGAAAATTAACAATACCTCCTGCTCCCCCAGATTTTGTAGCTATTTTATTAACATAAGCATTATGGAAGATCCTTCGCACTGCATCAAGTTTTTTATGTCTTGTACTTTCCACATATTCTATGGCTTCTTGGCAGCTGCAAAAAATATTTAAGACATAGAGAAAGATTTTAAAAAACTTCCTTCAATATCCATTTTAAATACAAAGACTGAGAACAGAGTTTCCGAAAACTATCGGTCCTACCGGCAAAACCGATAGAAAATCGAAATGTCCGATGAAATTCGCTACAGTATCGGTCCGTGTGACCGATTGTGGTGAGGGCTTGTCCTGATTAATTTATTGTACTATAATCTATTGCAATATCTTCATAAATGAAAAATTTCAATGCAGCAAGCTCCTATTCTTCGTAAATATCCATTATCTTATCCATTTTGCAGTTCTACTTGACTTATTTACTTCCAAAAACGATCGTTTTTTCCTAATCCGAATTTCCTCCATTCCTCTGTTATTGGTAAACACATGCAGTATATAGGTCATGAGGTGCAATGCCCACTGAGAAAACGTAAAGATAATTTTTTAAAATTTACTTTTATTTTGAATTTCTACTGCTATTTATATATGATTCAAATTTACAAGTGAGAATTAAACTTTAGATTTTAAAAAGAATTCTAGAAACCTTGAGAAGTTTTCTTTTTCAAGAATTAACTTTTTGTAATTAGTTGTTTCTTTCTCACAATATTTACTTGGGGCTAGTGACTTTATTGCTGCCACAAGCCTGTGTGACCTGGTGCCATGTTTGAATTAATCATAGTTGCATTTTATATTCCCGGTATCACAATCAGTGTTTGTGAGCCACAATTTTTTTACATATTCAATGCCATTTTCTTTGAATTACATCTGACATGAGGAATACACTGTATATTTTAAAATTTATTCGGACTGATAGAATATGTTTCGGACTGATAGAACACATTAAGTCATCAGTCCGAATGACTGATAGAAAAATTTGGTTTTCGGAAACTCTGTGAGAAGCAGAAATGACATACGAGCTGAGCCTTCCTGAGCTGCCACTGGATCCTACTGAATGTGGTGAATCATGGGAAGACACCAAACCCCTCAGACTGCCACAACTAGACACCACCTGCCAGCTACAGATCAAGCAAATTCTCATTATTTCATTGTATAGAAAATAGATCCTAAATGTAAACTTTAACATGCTATTAATTGTTACTGGAAACATAAGGTCCAAGAGCAATTTCTCCATAGCTAAATGTACCTTCCACAGCCTGGGGAGGAGGCCCGGGTGGTGTCCACTTTGCGGAGACTGTTGGGGACCGCCATTGGACTGGAGGAGGAGGAGGAGTTGGAATGGACGCTGCCATGGAGGGTGGTGGTCTCCATGGACAGTCTACTGGCCGCCGGGGAGTACCGGGCCGAGATACTCACACTGGGGTTACTAATCAAAGCAAAGGAGGAATGTACAATCATGTGGCCATGGTGCACTGGGACACGTAACTATTAAAGTATTTCTTCTTAGGAAAACAAAATTTGAGCACTTACTGGATGTGTAACTAGTATTTCTTGTTCAGCTCTTACCCATTTGATAGGTGAGAATCGTCCTCTGGATTTGTTGAGAAGAAAACAGGAGCATTCTCAAAGCTACAGCTACCTAGACTACTAATACTTGTGTTACTGCCTCGTATACTGAAGCGCCGATGGTCCGTATCTGTAAACAGAAATAACACAATTACTGAAGACAGGTGCTACTACTAAGAATAAAAGTATCTGCGACATCATACAAACATCATTATCTCCACCCTGATGGGATTACATGTAATAAAAATAACCGAAGATTCTGATGTTTTGAGAAAAAAAGCAAAAAGACTTTAAACTTTCTTCCACAAATCAATGGAATTTGAGATAATGAAGTTTAACTGTAATTTCAACATAGGTCATGTCTCAAAATATAAAAGCTTATGAAGTCAGCATAAAGTCTGATTTGTTATAACTCAGTACAATGTTAAGGCCTGGTTTACTATACATATACCATAACAAAGCTGACCTTACAAAACAGAGATTTCAGAAAGAAGCGAAGTTTAACATAAAAGAATACGGACCTAACAATACTCCATCCATATTGCACTCAGAATCTGTTCTGCTTACTTTCCTGAGATTACTGAAATTAATACAGAAAGTTTATTTATAGTCTAGAGAGAATTCTACATGTTGCTATACAGTAAAACTCGGTTATAGCGAAGTCGCTGGGACCTATGAAATCACTTCGCTATATCCGTAATTCGTTATATCCGAATAAGAAATTCATTAAATTTATATAGCTGGGGATCCAAGATAACTTCGCTATATCAGTGAATTCGCAATATCCGTGTTCGTACTAACCGAGTTTTACTGTATTTCTATTTTGTAATTTTCTAATCATTTTAATGCATATTTGTCATTTCAGATCACAGGCTATTACGAAAACAACTCAAGGAAATAAACTACATGTACACGTATATCAGATTTTAAGCAGGATATTTTAAATGCTGATTATATAAACTAGTTTTATGATTTATGAAACATCTTTATATCTTACCTAGGTGATTTGACTGAAAATTCCTCAGATGTAATGTAAGTCAGGAAATTGAAACAGAAGAATAAAATCTGTAAGATGGAAACAAAAATAAATTTAACAAATCATTTTTTTTCAAACTGTTCAATTTCAAGAACATTTTTAGAAATTTCTAGGCAGAATAATAACAACAGCTCCTACTCCATCTTACCTCTTCTCCTTTATTCACTCGATCAGGAAGATTGTGTCTGAAAGGGAGGTAACTCTAATCAATTTACAGAACTGGATGTGAGCAGTCGTGATAATAAGCATGCAGATCTGAAACTTTTCTGCTTACTAAAGTAGGATAATGAAAACAGGCAAATCTTAAATTTTTCTGCTTGTCAGATAGTAAAGACATCACTAAAACTGTACATACAAGCCAACACAGAGCTAAATGACAGTGTAAATGACTTACCCAAACAGATACCAGTCGTAGGCCAGAGTGAGGTATAAAATCTCGGATGGAGAGAGAGTGGCATGAGCAACGCCATCTGCCCACAGAGACAGGCGGAGAAGGGAGATAAACATGGGGGTGCGGTCCCACCCTGAGATACAATGGACAAGAATCCCAGTGTCCCCTGTAAAATGAGGAATCTGATATTCTAGTACACGTATTGATACGAAACACTACAACTGGCTAAGATATTACAATAACTGAAATTACTTTCCTATTCTGTCGCAAGTATCTTACAGATAGTGTGCAGGAAAGTAATTTATGTGATTTAATAACTTTTTAATGCTTGCCATGCTTTACAATTGCTTCAGTGTTTGTTTTTTTTTCTTTTTGCTGTATTTCTTTTAAGTGAAAAAATTGTACTTGTTTTACGATAAATAGAAATGTCACAAATTGAAACATAATCAAATTATGCTGAGACAATGTCATTGGATGTTTTAATAGATTTGAAGAAAAAAAAACATACCTTCTCTCAAGATGTGGATGAAGAGTTTCATGTAATTCTGTGTCAGTTGAATAAGATCCCAGGTCTAGAAGAAAGAGAAATATTTTCATAATGAGACAAAATTTTATTTACAGTATACAAATATATGTAATATAACGATGCTAATGGTTTGGTCATGTTTATCTTCTGCAGAAGTATTTTCAAGATCATATTTCTGAATGTTTGACCAGAATTGATAAAAAGTCACCCATTTATTAAACTTGTCCCTTATATTTCATGTTTTTATGGTAATAATTTTACGAAGAAGTTTTAAGTACATGTATTTAGAGACTAACTGTTATGTGGTATGTACCTTGAAAGCATAATAAAAACTCACCCTGTATTTTTTCCAATCAAGTCCAATCTTATTGAGTAATGAATCATCTGGAACGTCTAAGTTAGCATCAACATAATCCTACCAAATAATTTTAGATGTTGAGAAAAGCATAGTCATAAGTTAAGCTGACTGAAGAACAGAAATATCTATCTTACTCTAAAACAATTCTTATTTTTTATTTGCAATTCATATGGTAAGTTCAAAATCCATTTCTTATGTGAATGTTCTTCACAAAAAAAAATAAGAATACACATGTAATGGTTTGGGGCAAGAATTATTTGTAAGTGAAGGAAGATAAAGTATTTGAATTTCACAGATATTTCTTGCATGCGAATAATGGTTTACAACATGAAAAATACCTGGCTCCAATCAAATTTCATTGTTTCACCAAAATATGAATTATCTTTCCATTCTTTAAAAAATTCACAACCTGCAATAGAAATATGTTAATGAAGGCACATCCTTTGCATAGTTCCTTGTTGAAATGCACATTAAGTTATAGGAATTATCCGAGCAAAGAAAATGCTTTGAAATGCTCCAAAACAAGCCATTTTTAATTAAAAGTCATTGAAGCTTTCATTTCCTAATAAATCTATTTTTACACTATATCTCAGCAGGAATACCTGGATAGGGCCAGGGGTAGAGATAAAATACAGAAATCTGCATATCAATATATTACATTATAACATATATCTAAGCAGGAATACCTGGATAGGGTATAGATAAAATACAGAAATCTGCGTATCGATTTTCCTTGTCCACTTTTTCTGAGGAGGTGATACTGAAAAGAAAATGCAACAAGTTACTACCTCCTGGCTACCATTAAAATTTTCACAATAAATATTAATTAGCGCAAATAAAACAGCAAGGTTAAATATAATTCATAGCATATTCCTGTCACAGCTTACTTCATTCCAAATTTGACTTTCTTTTTTTCCACCATCAGATCACAGATATACTTGATAGACATTGTCTTGAGTAAATTAATGTCATGACCTCGGAATCGGTCAAACGTGTCCGCCCCCGTGCCCCCTCCACGGTCTGCTGCCTCTTCTTGGGGTCTATCTGGGGCTGAAGTAATGAGGTCAACTGTACAGTTACAAGCAACCAATCAGAACAATACTTGGGAGCATCACATTAATAATCTTTTTTACATAGAATAATTCAAACTCTTACCTGAAAAAAGGAAATCTAGACCAGTACGTCCAAACATTTCTGCACCACTTGCCAGTGTGGCAGAACGACAAATATGCTAGAAAAGATTCACAGTTTGAATGTATAATATATGGTGCATGAACATTAACTTCAACTTTTTTTTAAATAAACAAATATAAGATAATATATAAAACATTTTAATTTCCTGCATTCTTGAGAACAATTTAAAACAACATTCATTTTTTAAAATTACAATAAACGTGATTATCTTAGCACCACTTTCAGTAGGTTGATTACATATTATCTACAATTAGTGAACTGACTGGTGCAGTCCTGATTGTGTAATTAATTTCCATTCATCTCACCTTTCCCTCATACAGTATGACAGGCACAGCAAAACGAGATCGACATCGTGCGTAACGAGCTTGTTTGATGAGTTCTCGCATCCTGGGAATATCATACATACTCTGAACACTGTAATTTAAAAAAGTCTCTTACGTCAAAATAATTTTTACCAAAACAGAAAGATGTCCTGATAAGACCAATATTTGTACAGACACTGGCCAGGGACACATACAATCTTAGCATCCACCTTATGTGGTACATTTATTCAAAGATGCAACCCATCTACAAAGGTCTATCTTAATACAGCTGTACCATTTGAGAAAGCTAGGGTAGAAAATGATCTAAACACAGAATTTAACTTTGCCATGTTTGCCTCTACACACAGATGGACAAAAGCGTCAAAGAACATCCCCCTAAACCTTCATTGTTTTGATGATGTATAATTCAATACAAAATGCACACAAATATTTTTATGTAACTTTAAAAAAAAAAAATTGATGATCATTTTCATTATCCAGGTTTTAAAACTGTAATTCAAGGGCATTTTTAAAAAGACTATGATGATGTAAATTTTAAAAAAATATAATGCTTCCTTTTCCCTATAGTTTGTATTGGTGAAATGCAAAGTTTTATTAAAATTGTTATATAATTTTTCCTTATTACTGACCAAGGTTCAGTGTTAACATCCTTCCTGGATAACGTGACTTATTGTATTTGTCTGACTCGATCAGCTAAATCAGCAACCGACATATTTATATGCATAGTTGTTTCTGAGCTTATAAGTGAAAATTTCATAATTTATATGAACTTAAGAATTTTTTAAAAAAATATTTCTTGTTTTCAAAATATTGATAAAAAAACACATAAGAATTTTGTATTTATACATCTGTACATGTAGCACTAATTATGTAATACAAGTCTTTAATGTTAAAAGAGATCAATGAGCATGCAATTTTTTCATCACCATTTCATGTTCACTACTTAGGTAAATTATATGTCAATGACTGAACCAAACTTATGTCCAAGACATTTGGTATACTATGATTTATTCTTCTTAAATTTTTCATAAGTGAATTCTCCAATCCTGCTTTCATTATCAAAAAGGACTTCCTGAAAACTAAAAAATGTCAGAAATGAAGTAAAAAATTCAAAAAAAAAAAAACCCAAAAATTCTGGAAATGAAATGCAGCCAATATCATGTCTATTGACCAAGCACTGCAGCAGTAAGCAATGTCAAAATGTTTTGCTATTGTCTCTTCCTCATTTCCATCTATATCTGTATATATGACTTTGATTCATGTATAAAAATACACCAGGATAAGGAACTTTACACATGAACCAAATTATTATAAGAAATCATATCCATGTGAATAAAGGAAGCGAGATAAAATTATATTTATCCTGACTCAATTGAGTAAAAAAAATAATATAAAAGGGGTAAAAAATGAATTTCAGAAGTTTTAACACTTTAATATGAATATCTATGGGTTTTTTTTTTTTTTTACATTACTATGGTGATGTTTTTTTACATAACTAAGATGACTGGGGATATTTTATACTCTGTTGATATAGTCTAACAAGACCAGAAAATGAGGATCATTGTTACACTTTGAGAAATTCTGATCCCTCTGCAAAGTAACACCACAATATAGTGAAACATGGTTTTGACAAACACACTTTAAAATGAATTCAAGGAGAAGGGGTATATATAATTATTTGTCCCTGGCACTGACCTACATGTATAAGCCTCATTTACTGTAGGTGGTGCAGCAATGGTATAACATGTTCACTTTATCCTAAATCATTAGAGAAAAATCAAAGACAATAAGTTAATCGTAATATGCAGTCAGTCTACAAGATTCAAGTAAACATAGGTAATCAAAGATTATGAAGCTCGCGATCGCCTCAACAAATTCTGTGTATAAGCAAGACAAATTTCATATTTATATTTTTTTCTAGTTAATGTGCATCCCAAGATAAATAGTTTAACCACCACTTATAGTTAATTAGATATGAACCTGCTCCAAAATCTTTAACTTGTCCTTTAATCAAAATCATATTGATCAGTTACAAAATTCCAAGCAAGACAGAAAGTGTCCATCCTTTATAGATGCAACATCCATGCAAGTTTAATCATAACAGGCTACATAATTATAGAGCTACTCCGAAAAAAATTATCTTGTTCACTCATCTGGGAAATACAGGTCAAATATTCAGCATACGAACCAAGTTTAAAAGTGTCCATACCTAAAAACATCATCAATGCTAATATATCTAAAGAAAGGCTAAAATTCACTCATCTGGAAAATATAGGTCAAATACAGCATCTGAAGCAGAAAGGGAAATGTATACCCCTAAATGTATCATCCCTGCAATTTTGGTCCAGGTAGAGCTTATAATTACGTTAGAATGGAACCTTCTCCTAAAACTTTAACCTGGTCACTCTTCTGGAAAACACATAGGTCAGATTCAGCATCCAAAGCATTTCTGGTAGTGTACATCCCCAGATGTATCATTCCTGAAAGTTTGGTCCAGACAGGGCTTATAGTTACTTGGGAATAGACTTGCTCAAAAAATTGTAACCAAGTCACTCTTCTGAAAAATGTAGGTCAGATCCAGAATTCGATGCAAGTCTGCATGGTACTGTAAATCCCTAGATGCATCATCCCTTCAAGTTTGGTCTAGGTAGGGATTCCAATGACTACATCATGAACAATGTTAGGTGGCCGATGACACTCAGCTATAATACTTACTCGTCATATCTTTTCTTATTGTTCCTTTCATCCTCTGACAGTTGATACTCCAGAAAAACAACTTTACTAGGATAATGGCCGCACAGCTCACCACTAAAATTTTTAATCACCTGTAAATCAGAATGGATTATGTATTATGCTCTGTTCGGATGCCCATAACAGGGACTTACATACTAAGTACATAGGTTCCTACTTATACGTAAATTAAGCTCTTATTAATAATTTTTGTGACAAATAAATTGAAATAATTAGGAACATTGATAAAAATAATAACTCATACCGAATATCGATAGTCCTTTGAAAATAAAACAAGGCATCTCTCCATGATGAACTCACCCTGTAAAATATATTTTTTTATTAAAATAAAACAGAAACAACATCAAAACTATACACACATGTAAACATGTTTTCAGGAATTTAAATTGTCATTTCAGAACTGTTGAGATTGTATACTTTTAGATAGAATGTTCTATCGTTAAAATGATATTGTCCTACGGACCCGGTTTAACGATAGAATTCGTTCCGTGTATTCGTAATGTAGCAGAAAGAAACACGGGCGATAACTCGCATAGTGCATTTACTAGGAACACTAGAGACGAATGTAAACATATTTGAATCGAGAGAAAAACAGAGAAAATTAATTGGATTTTCGTCTTTATATTGGTTATTTTTTGATAAAAGGCATGAGCAATCTCAAGAAGGTTTGTTTTGATTATTTTGGTAGTTATTCCCAGTGCAAATCATTTTATATTCTTCAAAAATTTGCAATTTTTTAACAACGAGTATATGGGTGGTATTCTAACTGTGGTGAGGGCCTGTACCAAGACACAGTTAGATTATTCTAACTAGTATACTTTTATCTATAAAATCACAATTTAATTAAAACCACTCTTATCAAGTGTCATCAAAACATAATTTTAAGGTCCTATAGAAGATATCAGCCCTGAGTTTGAAATGTAAATGGAATCAAGAACATGTGTACTTCAGATATGTCTAAGAAATATAAAAATACCTCAATGTCGCCATCTTTTACTTTATGTGCAGTTTTCACACAGTGTTCTAAGAGATTATGAATATCCTCTGGTTTGATTTCGTCAGAAGACGGCCCACTCATTCTTTTGAGACTTTTGAACTCCAAAATCTCTACGAAAACGTGTTTGTTATTGACAGATCCTCCATGTTGCAACGATCACACGACTGTAAACTGGTGAAAGAGCACCAGTTAATACAAAAGAGTTCGCACAGCGGAGATAACTTCGTCTGCTTACAGGGAAAACGAAAGAAGGACAGACCGCGAAATTGATCAGGAGGGACGTGAAATTAATCAAATCATCAACTGAAGAACAAAATGACTGTGGTTAATTCGTTAAAAAGAGTTGTTTGTGGTGTTTCTGGAGGAGTTGACAGTGCTGTATCAGCATACGTACTTAAACAGAAAGGCATGTGGAGGATTTTTACTTTTCACTTCACATGCTTCATGCACGTGTACAGAAGTATTGTGCAACTGTAGTATATGCATGCAATATAAAAGTAAATTCTAGTTTTACTGTCTGAAGATAATTAAGACCTTTGTAGTGGTTCCTCCAACAATGAACACCACAGGGATCATTATGACCCTTTCGATAAAAAATTTTGAAGTCAAACTCAAAGAAGTTTAGGGATCAAAATGATTACTGTTCTGGTTTCAATCGTTTATTTGTTTTTATGTTTCCTTAGATCATAATTTGATTTGTAAAAAATGATTCAGTTAGTTGGAGGACTCCAGCTGCAGAACTGTGGCCCTTAACCCGAGATTCCTCTGATATAACCCCCACTTTTATAATGTGACTTTTGCAGGGGAGAGTCAGAGCGGAGGTATTGAAAAGTGGGAATTCGGCGACACCAGCTGGTGTCGCAACTCTGCCTACCATTTACAACTTTATTTCGTGGAGCTAACTCCCGAGACGCGAGAAATTAGTAAAAAAATTATTCTCCTACTTGTAAATCATCATTAATACAACGCTTTTGCTGTTTAAACGGCCCTATCACCGACAAATGATGCATCAGTTGAATTAGGTCACCTCCTCGCCATTCGACTTCTTTGCGCATGACGTCAGCACACAAATACACAAAATTCCAATCAGTTTGAATATAACACGTGCTCAAAACACGTGTGGACCTTTCGGTAAAATATTAAAGTGTTGTGAAAAAATGCATAAAACAACATAATGATGTATATTGATAAGGACAGCAACTGTCAAAAACGACTTCTATGCTAATATAAGGTAAAAAAACAGCATTAACACCAATCATATATTTTCACGTGATAGTTTGTGTATTTGTGTGTGACGTCATGCGCAAAGCAGTCGAATGGCGAGGAGGCGACATTATTCAAGTGATGCTTCATTTGTCGGTGATAGGGCGGTTTAAACGGCAAAAGCATCGTATTAATGACGATTTTCAAGTAGGAGAATAATTTTTTTACTAATTTCTCGCGTCTCGGGAGTTAGCTCCACGAAGTAAAGTTGTGAAAGGTAGGCAGAGTTGTGACACCAGCTGATGTCGCTGATTTTCAATATGGCCTCCGCTCTGACTCTCCCCCACACAAGTCACAATATAAAAGCGGGGGTTTTGGTCAGAGGAATCTCGGATTATGTAGCCCTCTGCTTGAGAAATATTGGGACAGATAAAGCAGAGAGCTACAGATTCAAGCATTGTGAAAAACCGATTTATGCAGTCTTTTTTGGTCGCTCACCCCGGGTATTATTTCTTGTGATTTAATCTTTTCTTCACTTGAGAAATAGTGTGTAGTAATTTATTGTATATGTTACTCCCATTTTCTGGCAAGCATGTGTTCATAGAAATATATTTTTACACAGGATCTCCAACATGGACGTAGGAATGGACAATTTTTATAATCGATAATTCAAAACCATTAAGTGCTCTTAGGGACCATTGAAAGGTAAATAAAGTATGAAGATTAATTGTGAAATGAAATATATGCTCAATTATCGGATATCATTCTTAAAGCATGGGAATTAAGTTAAAAATACAAGAAATAGTACCTGAAGTGAGCGACCAAAAAGTGGAGGCGTAAGTCGAAGATTTTTACAGTGCTTGGAACTGTAGATCTCTGCTTATCTGCCAAATTTTCTCAAGCAGAGAGCTACAGATCTGCAGCTAGGAAGACAGGTGTCAATCAAGAGTTGGCCTCTGAACATGTGAGTGTAAGTTTTAATCTTATGCAGAACTGTTGGTTAATACTTTGAGCTTTGCGGAGATTTTTTGATTACCAGCTTCATTAGGCGCTTCTAACAAAGCCAAACTGAAACAAGATGTGTTAGTGAAACACTATGCACCCGATGGTAACACAAGTCTGGAGTGGGACATAGACTGAAGTGGTATACACTTACCCTTGACAGAGCAGTTATTGTGGGCTAGGTTAAAGTTGACAGACAGACAGGACAAAAACAATATATCCCCAAGATCTTTCGATTCAGGGGCATAAAAAAATGATAGGCTGACATAATTCAGATTTTTTATACAGACTTCTAGTTATTTTTAGAATTGAATAGATTGTTGTTGGAAAAAGTTTAAAAGTTAATGTTTAAGCAACAGTTTATTCTGGAAAAATTGTATGTTAGCTTTAAACATTGAACTGGATGGCTAATTATATATTTTGCATATTTTTTGCTGCATCATGATGACAGTCCAGTCCAATACGAAAATTCGTAATATTACGAAGAAACGTAAGATTACGAAAAAGCGTAATATTACAAGTTATCGTAATATAAAACTTATATTACAATTTTTCGTAATGTAGTTAAATTATGAATACGTGTAATATAGCAGATTGTAAGAGACTATATTACGAGTTTTTGTAATCCAAGACAAATTCAAGCATTGCAAGAAATTGAGTGGTGGGTAGCAAAGTATGACGTCAGTAATATATCAGATTCCCTGGCTACTGATAGCTTGCGGTCAGTTTAGTCAGTTATGCCTATCAGAAAGCACGGAAATTCAAGAAGAAAGTACCGCCAGCGATGGGTGAGTGGACAATTTCTTTTATTATTCTTTTATAGGAATTTTCCCAAGGATAAGACCAATTTTCCAGTAAATTTCAATATTTTAAGCATGTCGCATTGGTCTGTATCAGAACTCCCTACTTTTCTTGCGAAGTCTACCCTAAAAATCACACCCTCGTCTCATAATTCAACTGTTCGTGCAATTCTTATTGAAATACACAGAATTCAAATCTCAGTAAGAGTCGTACAAGTTATCGCCTGTGACATCTCGTAGTAAACGTCATACTTTGCTACCCGCCACTCAATTTCTTGCAATGCTTGAATTTGTCTTGGATTACGAAAACTCGTAATATAGTCTCTTACATCAGCTATATTACGCGTATTCGTAATTTAACTACATTACGAAAAATTGTAATATAAGTTTTATATTACGATAACTTGTAATATTACGCTTTTTCGTAATCTTACGTTTCTTCGTAATATTACGAATTTTCGTATTGGACTGGACTGTCATCATGATGCAGCAAAAAATATGCAAAATATATAATTAGCCATCCAGTTCAATGTTTAAAGCTAACATACAATTTTTTCCAGAATAAACTGTTGCTTAAACATTAACTTTTAAAAATTTTCATATTGGACTGGACTGGATGACTCTAAAAGTGATGTTTTGGAGGCTTAGGAGATCTTATATGTGTAAATTATGTAGAGATTTGCATCAATTTAATCACATTTGCGATGAAACTGTTCAAACTGCCAAATGACTGTAATTTTATTGTTCTAAAAATATTATATAATTGTGAAGAGAAGAACCAGGATTAGAAAAGAAAAAAATGGGGCCCCAGAATCACTTTTACTCAGATGCTCTTTCACACTGAGCTCCCTGGCTCCCATCTGGCAAAACTAATTGACAGCCAAATTTTTATTTTTGTAGAATTTGCTTATATGTAAAGATTGTGATGATTATATTATCTTTTATACAGGTTATGAAGTAATAGGGTTGTTTATGAAGAACTGGGATGAGAAAGATGAAAGTGGACAGTGTTCGTCAGACCGCGACAAAGATGACGCTAAGTTTGTTTGTCAACATATCGGGATTCCATTCCATGAAGTGAATTTTGTTAAAGAATATTGGAATGATGTATTTAGGTACAGATTAGGAATGGCTAATTTAATTGTTTCCATATTTACTCTTGTAAGACACAAGCTTTAATATTATAACTTCTAAACTAACTTTGAATTGTACATGTATCTGTTTAATTTGAAAAGTGTAAGTACATTGAGTAGCATTTTTATTTCATCTTTCAAGTCCATTCCTTAAGGAATACCAAACTGGCAGTGTGCCAAATCCTGACATTGTGTGTAACCGACTGATCAAGTTTGGTGTATTTCTGAGGTATGCCCAGACACAGTTCTCTGCCGATGCTGTCGCTACAGGACACTATGCTAGGACTTCAGTGGGAGAAAATCTACTCTCAGGAGAGTCTAATCATGGTATTTAAAATACTTAATGTAAATATCATTGGCAAAGAATTTTTTCAGAGTTTGTTGATGATTTAAAATATTTTAAGTTGTGGATCAAATTGCCATAGACTTTGCCTGAAGTTTGATTTTTCAGCAATATTTCAAATCAGGATTGCAAGAGTTTTTATGCCCCCCTTAGAAGAAAGGAGGGCATATTGCTTTGCTGCTGTCTGTTGGTCTGTCGGTCCACTTAGTTTCCGTTCATTTTCTTCGCAACCGTTGCACATACTGAAATGAAATTTGGTATACAGATATATCACATGAATATCTAGATCAGGTTCTGTTTTGGGTATGATCGCACCATTTTTGACAAAGTTGTGCCCCTTGGACTTAGAAAAATTTAAATTATTTGCAGTTTCCGTTCATTTTCTTCGCAACCGTTGCACATACTGAAATGAAATTTAGTATACTGATATATTACATGAATATCTAGGTCAAGTTCTGTTTTGGATACAATCGTGCCATTTTTGACAGAGTTATGCCCCTTGGACTTTGAAAAATTTCAATTATTTGCAGTTTCCATTCATTTTCTTCGCAACCATTGCACATACTGTAATGAAATTTAGTGTACAGATTTATCAGAGGTAAATCTAGGTCAAGTTCTGTTTTGGGTACGATCGCACCATTTTTGTCAGAGTTATGTCCCTTGGACTTAGAAAAATTCCAATTTTTGGCAGTTTCCATTCATTTTCTTTGCAGAGGTTGCAGATACTGAGATGAAATTTGGTATACAGATTTATCAGATAAATATCTTGATCAAGTACTGTTTTGGGTACAATCGCACCATTTTTGACGGAGTTATGCCCTTTTGGATTTAGAAAAATTCCAATTTGGGGGAGGGGGGCATAAGTGTTTTACAAACTTCTCTTATTTTTATATATCCTTAATCCTTACTCAAAATTTCTAAAAGTTTAGCTCAAACTGACAAAGGATAGAGACATAGTAGTCAAAATACTTCAAAATCAATATTTTAGTACGAAATATTATATTGGAGTTTTATATACCTGTATTTTGCTGTCCCATTGCAATCATTAAGATAAGTTGTTAATCTTATCTGTCAGGTGTGAAGTTATTGAAAGCTGTAGATTCCTGGAAGGATCAGACATATTTCCTGTCACAGATTCCCCAGAAGGCTTTACAGAGAGCACTGTTTCCTCTTGGGGGTCTTCTGAAATCAGAGGTCAAGCAGATAGCTTCAGAAATAGGTCTCCAGAAGATTGCCAGGAAAAAAGAGGTCAGTATTGCAGCAAGCCATATGTTTCTTCCTGTTACTGCATTAAAACTTTGAAAACTACCAAGCAGCTTTTATGTTTAAGAAGAATATTGATTCAAAGAAATAATTGGATTTTTTCTAAATTACAGAGTATGGGTATTTGTTTTGTTGGCAAAAGAAAATTTCCCTCATTTATAGGAGAGGTAAGAGTTGATGAAAAGAGAGAGAGGGCCATATATAACTGGTCTCGATCAGTTGGATATATTAATTTTTCAGCCATAAAGCAACTTTAATTTAGAGTGTCCATGGATTTTTTTTGAAGAACTCTTGCAAATATTTTGTAGATTAATCATACATGTATATGAAAATGCTTAGTATAGAAGATTACATATCTACCATCTAAATGGTTTTTACCGTATAAGTGGAAATTTTAGCGAGTTGCAAATTTAGCGATTTGTCCTGAAAATATGGTATTTTATTTTTAGCGAGAAGTAATTTTAGCGATTTTAAAATGCTCACTTATGAAGCTGTTACAAATAAAACAGTTTATTTTTAGCGATATTTAATTTTATTGATCTCAGAACCCTTGCTAATAATGCCACACAGGATGAAAAGCCAGATTTCCCAAAATTGGAAACCAGGTGGAAATATATGGGAATCGTGACATCAGTAGTTTCCATATAGTTTCCATTTTATGGAAACCACATAGTGGTTTCCACATAGATTCCCAACATGGAAACAATCGACCTGTGGTTTCCCGTAAGTTTCCCAAGATGGGAAACCATGGAAACATGCCTCAGTGGTTTCCATATAGATTCCCGACATGGAAGCCATCAATCTGTAGTTTCCCCCATGTTTCCCAGGTAGGGGAACTTTGAAATTATATCTCATACTAATTTCCACCTATATGTACTTTTCATTTTACAAAAAGTTAAGTACTAGTGTTTTCTGAGGTTACCACATTTTTTCCCGATTATAGAATTTTTTCAATCGTGTACACATACTGTATCAAAAGAATGAACTCCCCCTTCAAACAGTAAAAATAACAAGAAGTGTATTTATGTGTGATAAAATTAAATATTTCATGACCGTGAACGCAAATCAATTTTAAATTGGATTTATCACATTAGTCTTGGTAAACTCGTATAGAATGCCTGAATTGGAATAGAGAACTTGAAGAGTAAGTGCAGTTATATAGAAATCAATCATAAAGAGATAAGTTGCGATTACTGATTAAAAGATAAAATACAGAAGAGTAAGGAATGAGGTGGGGGTCTGAGTATTATAATTGTAGTATTTTGCTATAGTAAATATTGTTTAAGATACAACTGCACTTTTTTTTTTTTAGTTTATTTATTTATTTATTATTATCTGTTTCTTGTCATTTTTTTCTTGGGAAGCCCCCCCCCCCCCTCCTAAAAAAAACATGTTTGAAAATGGTGTGTAACTACGGGCAACTGTCCTCTCGTGCCATATCAGGTGGATACACGTGCCGCGAAGACACCTGTCACTGTGTATTTTTTGTATATTCTATGTGATTTGAGAGGGTTTTCTACCTACAGGGAACAATGGACTGTTGTCAAGCATGTACACACACAGTCTCCGCAAACTCGTTTAAAATTAAGATGATGATTTGTGTTTTTATCAATCATTTTAAAAATTATTGTATAATAAATCATAAGTTATACAAGAGAACATAATTTTATTCATAAAATAACCTACATTTATTTTAAGAAGTTCAATGAAAGAACAAACTATTTTGAATTTCGATTTCAATGTTCATTACTGATTTAAAATAAAACTATCCTGTTTAAAAATTAAATAATTTTCTATAGGTATAGAATAAATATAAATTCTCATCGTGTATAATTATATTAAATCATAATCACTTAAAAGATCAATGACATTAAAACAGTATTTAATAGTATTGTTGATGTTTTGTGTTAAATTTGTAATCCAACTACAAAGTTTAAAATATCAGAAAAATATTCATATAAAAAACATTTTATTTTAATTTCTTTTTAATTTAAATATGTTCGCAGATCCCTGTGTAGTAAATGTCTGCACTTTTCGCATGAAACTACAATGATGTAGGTCCTGAATGCACAAGTATATTTAACAAAACCATTTTTCCCCTTCAAAGGCCATTGCTCTACATGTAGCTAAAGAAAAATCTATAATATTTTACATTATTTTGTTTTCCTTAAGAACAACTTACGGCTTTTGATGTATAGTGCAGACTAAGGCAATCTATTAAAAGCATTAATTGTATAATTGTATTACTGTGCATTTTCTGTTGATATCATTATATAAAGATGTGAAGTTTTTCAATACTACTACAAACATTTCTTTATCTACGTTGTCAACTACTTTATTTCTATTCTACATGCTGTAAATTACTCTTTTAAAAAAAATATGCATATTCTTAAATTTGACTAGACTCAAACTACAGGCCTGTCGGAAAGTAATTTCCGTTTGGGTAATAAACTTACCGGGAATTTTTAGCTCACCTGAGCCGAAGGCTCAAGTGAGCTTTTCTGATCACATTTTGTCCGTCGTACGTCCGTCCCTCCGTCTGTCCGTCTGTAAACTTTTCACATTTTCGACTTCTTCTCAAGGACCACTGGGCCAATTTTGACCAAACTTGGTACAAAGCATTCTTGGGTGAAGGGGAATTTAAATTATCAAAATAATGGGCCAAGTCCTCTCACAAGGGGAGATAATCAAGAAAAGACAAAAATAGGGTGGGGTCATTAAAAAATCTTCTCAAGAACCACTTGGTCAGAAAAGCTGAAACTTATGTGGAAGCATCCTAGGGTAGTGTAGATTCTAAATTGTTCAAATCATGACCCCCGGGGGAAGGGCGGGGCCACAATGGGGAATCAAAGTTTTACATAGAAATATATAGGAAAAATCTTTGAAAATCTTCTTCTCAAGAACCACTGGGCCAGAAAAGCTGAAACTTATGTGGAAGCATCCTGGTATAGTGTAGATTCTAAATTGTTCAAATCATGACCCCTGGGGGAAGGGCGGGGCCACAATGGGGAATCAAAGTTTTACAACGAAATATATAGGAAAAATCTTTGAAAATCATCCTCTCAAGAACCACTTGGCCAGAAAAGCTGAAACTTATGTGGAAGCATCCTGGTATAGTTTAGATTCTAAATTGTTCAAATCATGACCCCCCGGGGAAGGGCGGGGCCACAATGGGGAATCAAATTTTTACATAGAAATATATAGGAAAAATCTTTGAAAATCTTCTCAAGAACCACTGGGCCAGAAAAGCTGAAACTTATGTGGTAGCATCCTGGGGTAGTGTAGATTCTAAATTGTTCAAATCATGACCCCCGGGGGAAGGGTGGGGCCACAATTGGGAATCAAAGTTTTACATCGAAATATGTAGGAAAAAACTTTGAAAATCATCTTCTCAAAAACCACTGGGCCAGAAAAGCTGAAACTATGTGCACATGGAAGGATCCTGGGGTAGTTTAGATTTCAAAATGTCTAAATTATGATCAGCGGGGTAGGGTGGGGATGCATTATGTATTACAAGGGGGAAATCTGGTAAAAAACAGGATGGCAAAGCTGCTCAGGTGAGCGATGTGGCCCATGGGCCTCTTGTTTAGTAGCATACCTTACCAAATTCCTTAACTAAAAAAGTGCAAAGAAGAGATACAGAATGGGACCAGCTAAAGCTGTGTGCGTAAACTCACAGCCCTACACATTAACGAGTATCTAGATAGTTGATGACTTTTGACACAATCTTTCCAATGACCTCACTTATACCGGTCACGACTAAAATACTGAATTGAAATACTGTTAATTTTTCCTTCCTTTGATTAGATATTAGTTTTGTTCCACCTTGTGATAACTTTCCTTAAAAAAAAAGGTTTTTGACATTCTGATACATTAAACAATTTTACATGTTAAAATCACCTCAACCAGTTATAATATATATTGATAGCAGGCTCAGAATCTAAACCAAAAAAGGAGGGAGTTCAATAAGTTTTTTAATCCAAACAAGAAAAAAAAATCAGCTCTGATGGTATTTTGTCTTAATTTTTCACAAGTGTATCCTATTCTACCATACCTCACTCAGGCTGATTCTTTCTACTAAAAGCATTTTAAATTAGCAATTTATTTTTAAACATGTTAAACACCGAACTTTTCAATCATCACTATTCAAAATAGAAAAAAAATACTATTCTTTAATAGTAGCTCATTTTCATGTCTTTTTTGGATTCCTGTGGAAAGTTCACAATTTTAAAAAAAAATGTACCTTTAAAGGTTTAACATCTTTTTGGATGACATTATAAATTACAACCGTTTAAAGTAGCGGGGGTGGGGGGGGCATATACTTTCAGCTAGGACAGCCACTACCAGCAACCAAGCCCCGAAACCCCCATCCCGAAATCAAATAATTTGAGGTGTTACGCCAGAAACAATTTTTTTCTCTAAGTGGCACATGCATTATTGATGTTCGGGAAACTTCAGGTTTACAGAGGTTTCCATTGTTCCGGATACCTTATGGAATCAGAGCATAGTAGTTTCCGTGTCACGGAAACTTGGCAGAATAGCCTGGCCTCTGCTGCGGAAACCACTGGGAAACATGATGTAAACTTGAGGTTTCCATGTGGTTTCCATAAAGTTTCCCATAATGGGAAACCGCTTTTTTCACCCAGTGCCAAAATTAAATCCTCGCTAAAAATTCTGCTTATACGGTATCACTTTGTCACATTTTTCAGTACATTGAACCAAAACCGGGTAATATCATCAATGTAGAGACTGGAGAAGTAGTGGGGACTCATCATGGTAAGTTTTACATTAAACATTTAACAATGGTGAACATGATTAGATATTAAAAAAGTAAAACAATTAAAAATGATATATATGTTATAATAATCTTGATTTATAAAGAAAACAAATCATTTACATTTACCACCTGGTTAAAATGTTCAACAATCGATAAGCTCATTTGGTGCCAATTTATATTTATGTTAAAATTTTCTCAGTAAATTTGAAATGAAAATTAAAAAACAAGATGTGTTTGTGAAACACTGATGCCCTCATGGCAGCTTTTGGTGAGGGTTGACATTTCCCAAACCCAAAACTCAAGGTCAAAGTCAAAGTAATTGTTGGTATCCAAAGAAAGGTCATGTCCTAAGGAATTAACCTGTGAATATGAAAGCCATTGCACCAACTCTTCAAAAGGGATCAAGGTTTAATTTTTTTTAAATGGGTCAAACTCTAAGGTCAAGGTCAAAAGGCCAAAAATATTTAACCCATTGAAAGGTCCACAATGAAAACAGATGTGACATATAAAATCCCCAGTCCCAACTGTTCAAAAGTTATGGCCTAGGTTAAAGTTTTGGTATTTTTTGTAAAAGTGGGTCAAACTCCAAGGTCAAGGTCAAGAAGTCAAATTTGGTTGTACCCAGAAGAAAGGTTTTGTCTCAAGGAATACACCTGTGACATATGAAAGCCATAACCTCACCAACTCAAAAGTTATTGGCAAGATTAAAGTTTTGTAGATAAACACACAGACAGATGGACGGACTGGACAAGCACTACATGTTATATACAATGTACCCCAAAATCTTTGATTGTGTAGGTGTAAAAGCTCTTTCCTGTTGCAATAATCTGTATCACAGAAAAAAAGTTGTTTTTCTTATTAGCTCCCCTTAGCTGATCAAAAGGCACTTTGGGAATGGACCCCCCCCCCCCTTTCCATTTTTTAAAATTGGGGATTGATGTTTTTTCCCCTTATTTTTATGCCCCCATAGTCAAAGATTCAGGGTTATATCATTTTTGCCTTAATGTGATTCCAAACTATTTCCATTTCGAATTTTTTTCTCTGTGATAACTCTTTGAAAGTTAGCGGAGTTGATTTCTTGATAATTCTACCGGAATGTAAATTAGGCAGGTCAATAGGTCAGGAGCTAAGGAGGCCTAATATGCATGCAAATCTCGTGCGCATCTGTCTTTGTGTCTGACGCCAAGGAGGCCAAATATGCATATAAATATTGTGCGGCTGCCTTTGTGTTTTGACGTCAATGGGCGAGGACTATTGAAATTGGCATGGGAGTCCTCGTGTAGTTTAAATCTATATCTACATTTTTAAAGTCAAAATCTATAATTTTATTTTACAATGAAATGGAAATATAAGGAATCACTGTCTAGTTAGTATAGTATGCCAGGGACATCAACGATAGTGGGAAACATGAGATAATTTATGCATAACGGCTTCGCCCGTTATGCAAATTATCCCATGTTTTCCACTATCGTTGATGCCGTGGCATACTATACTAACTAGACAGTGAGTCCTTAGATAAATGTTATACAATTAATGTATAACATTCATGCTTTCATAAATTCAGTGATTTGTTTATTTCTGCAGGCATTCATCATTACACTTTAGGACAGAAGCTTATTCATGTTAACCATGGCCGCTTTGGAAAATGTTTTATTGTGGATAAGGACAGAATTACTCAGGATGTAATCATTGTAAGACCTTCTTTAATACTTACATGCTTAAATTAAGGTACCCTTGTGATAACAATAAGAGAGAGTACAATGATAAAATTAATAAGTACCGAGTATACTATACTAAATTTACTGATCAGGCAGTATTAAACTTACCTGCCTTGCTTCTTAAGTTTTTTTTGTTCCAAGTCTAATATTGTCCAGAATTATATACTGTAAAAGTACTTTTTTCCGCGTGGTATTAATTTACGCTATGTAGGCGATCACAAATTTTCCGCGGAAATTTGTCCTAGCGTACTTAATGTAAATGCAAGGCATATAGTGATAGTGTTAGAAATCCGCATAATTTTCTACCCGCGGATCAAACAGAAATTGGGATTCCGCGGAATTATGACCCCGTGGAAAAAAGTACTTCTACAGTATTTAAATTGCTTTATGAATAAAGTTCAAAGTTTGTAGAATCATTGAGTCTGAATTATTCCTGCTCAAAACATTTTATTTGGTTTTCTCTTTTTAGGCCCCAGGAACCAATCACCCAGCATTATTTAATCAGGAATTCTATACAACATTACCTTACTGGATACACCAGGAACCAGATGGCTTTAGTGAAGGGAGAAGCTGTGTTCTGGAGTGTCGGTTCCAGCGGACATATGTACCTGTTACCTGTATAGTAACCAGGTGTGATAAAGACCAAGTGAGGGTGACACTGAATGAACCAATGCGTGCTATCACCCCGGGACAATACGCTGTGTTTTACCATGGGGAGGAGTGTCTAGGGAGTGGGGTCATAAATACGAGGGGCCCATCTGTATATGAGCTTCAGCAAAATAAGGAAAGGAAACAAAATATAAAAGTTTCTTAGTGCTTAGTGTTGGATTAGAATAATTTTTTAAGGTATTGTTAGCTAATTTTTTGCTATTGTTTGATATTTGCATTGTTTGTTTCTAATGCTCTTTTACTTTTTAACCTGTTTCATACTGCTTATTTTATAGATCTGTATCTGTTTTGAGTGAAGATTTGAAGCAGTAAATACATAGAAAGAGATATACGTATGTTAAATAGGGAGCACCTACACATCAAACATTATCTTCTTGGTAATTGTTTTGATGCAAAATGTAGTCTATGTCCCAGTAGATCATTATTGTTTTATTTTTGAATTGGAAGTTACATTGTCTACAAAAGCTATACCGTAAATCTGGAAATTTTTACTGTAGATAAATTTTTAGCAAATTTGCGCGTGCATTGAATTCGCAAAAATATTTTTCTTAAAAATAAATCAACATGCGAAGAATTTTTTTTCTGAGAACTCGTGTCTTTTTTTAACTCAGTGAATAGGTGTCGGTAAGCACTGGTCATTTTTAAAAGAAACCTGTTTACACTAGTCTACTATAACTACAAGTTAATTACCCGTGCGTAAATTGCCCTCATTATATGCAATATCGTCAGATGATTTGACAAGCACTGAGGCGGTATGCCCCTTTTTAATTATTTTAATCAATTAATTTGCCAATAAAGAGAGAACTGTCATTTTATCTAACCGTTCATCAACACGGGCGATAACTCAAACTACTAGAAAGTTCCAAATGTAAACGCGGCGTGTAAATTTTAGGTGAGAAAAACCAAACGTTGAGAAAATTAGTAATATTTTTTCTTCATTTGGATTATACTTTAGGTTAAAAGGCTGAAATGTTTTTTACACTTGAGTTAGAAATTATTTTCAGTGCAAATTAATCCTTTTGTATTTTTATCAAAATTGTTTCGGAGCGATTTTGCAATATCTTGCCACGTTGTGGGTATATTGGTGGTATTCTAACTGGGCATATTATTTGAAACATAACCTGATATGAAAATCTTCAGTGATTTTAATTTTTAGCACCAGTGACAATTCGCAAAAATTTGAAGCGTAAAAATTAATCAACAGCTTTTTGACCCAAATTCGCAAAAATAAATCGACGTAAAAATTTCCAGATTTACGGTAGTTTGTAAGTTGCTGGGTGAGTGGCCCTTTTAGGTACCTGCTGTCTTGGACTACAGCATCTATTATTTTGGCCATGCTTTCTAAAAGCAGTTAGGGAAACATTTCCTTCTTTCTGACTCTTTTCATGCCTGACCTTACAGATAAGCATGATTAACAACAAAAAGAATGACAAAATCCTTTGAAGACCCTTTGGCTTTTGTGCCAAAGTTAAAATAAACTGTCATTTCATTGTCATCAACAAAGTGTGAGTTCCAATATTTAGATTCCTATTTGTTTTTTCTTTGATGACTCTTTGAAAGTTAGGTGAATTGATTTATTGATCATAACACCTGAATGTAAATTTTGCCTGGTGAAAGGTGAAGTGCTTTATGTCAATCTCCTTGCGACTGTCTTTGTGTCTGACTTCAGTGGGCTGGTACTATTGAAATTAATATGGGAGGCCTTGTGTATCTTAAATCTATTAGACAGCATTAAAAAATATTTACTATTTTATTTGACATATAAATGTAAATAAAAAGAATCACTGTCTTATTTGTTGGGTATGCCAGGGACATCAACAGCAGTTGAAAACATCGGATATTTAATTTATGCATAACAGGCATTGAGCGTTATGCAAATTATCCCATGTTTTCAACAACCGTTGATGCCCTGGCATACCCAACAAAGTAGACAGTGATTCCTTAAATAAAATCTCTGAAATGAGGATATAGCAGCTTTGCCAAAGGGTAAATTCACAAAATCTCTTGGAAAAGAGTGGAATTATGTTGCTGTATCCTGTTGACTGTCCTTGTTAAAAAGCCCCATAAACAATAAGTCACGGAGCTTATTTTCATGTGTCCATCAATTTCCAGTGTCTGTTCCTGTGCTTTTTGTCAGGTCAGCTTTGATATGGAAATGGATTAGAGCATTTGCACATGAATAGAGTCTGTTGGTTGTATTTATATTTGAAGAATGCACACATTTTATGAAATAGAATTTTAGCAAACAGAGATACGGGAGAAAATATAGAATAACCACAAAATAAATAATTCAGAGTAATTGATGACATACATTTAGTCATTATCTATATATACATTGAAATCAAGCTGGTAGTAATGTGCAATACCCTGATGTACATTACTGTAAACAAAATTAGAGTCGCATGTTAGTAAAGTTGACAGGGTTGAATGTTACAAATGTTTCTGCAAAATAATTGTAAAGTACTCATCCATAAAAAGGTACCTTCACAAGAACAAATTTATTGCAAACACACACAAACATATTAAATGTTCTTACCATTTAAATTTAAATACCATTTGACTCAGTGCAGAGAGATAAGTTGTTTGAAGTTTATTTTTCCTCTATTTATTCAGAAGTTATTACTAATTTATCTTCTGATAATTCAACTCACAACTTTCAGTAGTCTCATGCTGAATTTATTTCCCTTTTCACTATTTCTAAGTCTGGATATTGGACCCCTTCATCCTCTGAAAGTTGCCTGCTCTTACATCCACCATTCATAGAGATGCCATCTTTAATTTGTTCTTTTGATGTATCCAAATTCTTGTGCAGAAGTCTTCTCATCTCAAGTCCAATTCGCTGTTACCATACTGTAATCATATCAACATTTGTGGCAGTCTTTGGTGAACAGAAACAGCGAAAACAATTTGACGGTCTACATTTTGTGTCCCATGGAATAGTCTTCGCAGCTGACCATTGAAATCATCAAAGTAAAAGCAGGAATTACTCCATAGTGGGCATTGGTCCTGCACTTTGTGCACCAAATGGAGAAGAAGGTGTGTGTTTGATGTGGAATAAAGCTCCCTATAAAACACTGGTATATTGACTATTGAGTACAAACTTCATTAGCAAGAACCTACACTGCTTTAAGGTAGAATGCCACACCAATTTTTTATTTTATGGATCTATGAGTCATCCTTTCTAAACAATGGTTTCAGCATTGAAAGGCCGATATTAGCTCTTAATTATTTTATATGATTTTTTTTGTATTTTTTCAAAGAAAATGAAAAAAATTATTTACATCCAAATTAGATGCTTTCTTGTAAAAATTTTGCTGTAAATGAATGCATCACATGAATACCTAATAAAATATGAAAATAAAGTCTGGTTAGACTTTTTGATTTTTTTTATAAAAAATTATTTATGAAAATAAAACACATTATTTGTAAATATTTTTAAACCTATGGTTAAAAACACCATAAAGCTAGTCACAACTAAGGAAAACATTTTTGTCAATCATATTTTTAAAAGAAATTGAAACGAAATTGAGAAATTTTAGAGAAATTAATTTTTTTAATATTTGGACCTAACCCGATCAAAATTAAACTGATCCCGATCAAAAATAACACAAAATGAATAAAATGCTAATTAATTGCCTCTTCATGTATTTACAATGAATAAATCTATTTTATTGTCAGGTTCTATAATGTTTTAACCCTTATAACACCTAATCAGACTAGTGTTCTTAGGAAAATGTTATTTATTTCCAATAATTGTACAATTATGGTCGGGATCGGTTTAATTTTGATCGGGATTGGCCAAAATTAAAAAAATTAATTTCTCTAAAATTTGGCTACTTCGTTTCAATTTCTTTTATAAATATGATTAATGAACATGTTCTCCCCAGTTGTGGCTGGTTTTAAGACGATTTTAACCACAAGTTTAAAAAATATTCACAAATTATATGTTTTATTTTCATAAATATTTTTTTATAAAAAAATTAAAAAGTCTAATTAGACTTTCTTTACATATTTTATTAGGTATTCATGTGATGCATTCATTTACAGAAAAAATTTTACAAGGAAGCACCTAATTTTGATGTAATTATTTTTTTTCGTTTTCTTTGAAAAAATACAAAAAAAATTCATATAAAATAATTAAGAGCTTATGTCGGCCTTTCAATGCTGAAACCATTGTTTAAAAAGGTTGACTCAGAGATCTATAAAATAAAAAGTTGGTGTGGCATTCCTCCTTAAAGTCGCTAGGTGAAATTAATGTGTAGGTCGAATATACCAGGGGTGAAAAGTGATGAAATTGATCATCAAGAACTATCCAAAGCAAACTGACATTTTTTCTCTAATAAAAGAATGTTGATATTTCATTGAATTGTCAGGTACTGGGTATTTTAACATATAAAATAAACCTTTAATAAATTAATACTATACCTAATTATTTATATATAATATAATAGTATATACATTGATAGTGAAGAGATGTCCCCAAAAATCTTAATAAAAGGGTACTGAGAGAAGTTGTGAGTATTCTTAATGTATTAAGAAATTATTAGAGCTTTTGTTTTGCATGAGTTACTTTTTAGTAAAGTGTTTGTCAACAAAAGTAAAAGGTATTCATTTGCCATTTTTGAAACAAACCTCACAGTCTGTAGCAGGTTTTGTCTATACAAATGTTTCTACAGAGATATAGCAGTCTCTCATGGAACATGATACGGTCTTCATTGACCAAGATTCTCTCGATAGAGATGTTTTCCATAAATTTTATGGAATTCCAAACACAAAATTTGGTGTCCATGGATTGGAGATGGGCTATTATTTGGTGTGGTCCAGTGTGTTACTTCTAAGGCCAGGTTCCCACCCTTATTTGAATAGATAGTGTCTTCTTATTTCAATTCTATGCCTGTGGTTGTGCATCGTCGCAAACCACGGTCAATATGTACGATCCTTTCCCATTCTGGGAGAGAGCTATATGCGGACTCCGTACCGTGGCTCGAGACGACGTGGTTGTGATTGCCTCTAGACATTTTCATCCTGTGGATATTCTGATCAGTGGAGATCTGCTCTAATGTTCCTTTTCGTCCATCTATTATATCCGTTCTCAATTTCTTTTGAAGTGTTGCAACTTTTCCCCCTGTTAGAAATTTTTTTTTCATTGAATGACTCCTGGATGCCTTCCCTGGTATCTTCAGCAATTTTCAATAAATGCCAGTTGTGCATTAAGTATAATAATTTACACATCAGGGTTGGAATCTAGGATGGAATTCTAGGAGAAAAAGATCGTGACTTTATAGACATGAGCTGGCATTGAGGCACAAATTGGTAATTAGATACCTTGTTTCTTTGTGGTTGTTTATTCAGATTTAAACTTTCTTTTGTTTTATCTCTTCTTAATACTTAAACTGTTACCAATTTAAAGGTGGCCAGAGAGTTCCCTATCAGCTTTGTTATGTGTTCCAGTGCTTTTTCTAT